ACCAACTACCCCAACCCCAGATCTAGGACTTTGAAACTTATACTATGTGGGGGGGGGGAGTTCATCAGCACATAATATAATTTGGGATGCCATAATGCGTATTTTCAGGACATATACATATTAAAGGAACACTATAGGGCTAGAAACACCAACATGTATTCCTGATCCTGGCCTTCCTTAGAAGGGGTTAAAACTCACCTTATTTCCTGAGCAACGCCTCCTTGGAAACGTCATCAGAATGTATGATTTTTAGCCAATCCAATGCTCTCCCTATGGGAAAACATTGCTTGGCTGAATTTATCAGGGAGGCGGGGCCAAACACCCGTTTGGCCAATCAGCACCTCCTCATAGAGATGCATTGAATCAATGCATCTCTATGAGGTAATTCAGCGTCTTGGAGGTGTCTGGAGGTGTCCCTAGGGGTCAATGTAAACACTGACTTTTTTTCTGAAAAGGCAGTGTTTGCCTGGAAATGCCTGAAGGGAGCTAATATACTCACAGGAACAAATACATTAAGCTGTAGTTGTTCTGGCGACTGACTATAGCGTGGGTCGTCAACCTAGTCCCTACCACCCACTAGTGGGCGTTTCAGGATTCCAGGTGGGCGGTAGGGATTTTCTAATTTTGAGAGACCGGGCGGGCGGGTGTGAACCGGCGGTACCCCTGCGACCGCGTACCGCCATCACCATTTGCGGCGCAGGCCCGCGCGGCAAACCGCTGGTGCCGCATATGGAGGGTTCCATCGGGTGGCCCATGCTGTCAGGGCCACCCGATGGATGTGGATTGTAAGGGGGCCCGGTCAGCGCTAGGAGGCCCGGTCAGAGCTGGGAGGAAGTGACTGCACGTCACTCCTCCCAGCTAACACTGAGAGCTGCGCGGGAGGAAGACCAGGGAGTCAGAGTGGGAACTCTGACCAGGGCCGGACTGGGGATACAAAGCAGCCCTGGAAAAAAAATTTGTGCCAGCCCCATAAGTCACTGCGCCATATATTGTCGCGTGTAATATGTAAGGCTATGTCTTGCCAGGACAGATAATTGAGTAATATATATATATATATATATATATATATATATATATATATATTGCTTTTTCTAATATAAAATATTGGTCCTTTCAGGGTAAAACGTTTAATTATACAGTAAGCATACGCACATGCAGACACGGGCAATTTCACTGACATTTCAGTGACACACACAAGCTCATTGATACACAGCCTCATAGACAAACAATCTTACTGATATACATCAGCTCATTGACATAAAAACACAAGCTCACTCACTAGCAGGCACACGCATGCAAGCAAGCTCACTCACTAGCAGACGCACACACAGCTTAATGTGGTGGTACTGGCGTCTATAGCATGTCGCTACAGGCTTTTCAACGTAAACACTGACTTTTCAGAGAAAAGGCAGTGTTTACATTGCTTCAAAGTGACATTGCTAGTGACAGTCACTCAGACGGTCACTAGAGGTGCTTCCTGTGTTAGTGCCCTCCCGCCCTCGCGCGCTGCTGAATGAGACTGGCGCCGGAATATGGCGTCATATTCCGGCGCCGGTCTCATTCAGCTGCGTGCTGGGGAGCAGAGCCAGCGCAGCTCGCGCAGCTCCCTCAGCGGCCGCCAGGACAAGTCCGCCAGCGGCCGCCAAAAGACCTCCCCAGCAGCCAGGGGAGGGCTGGCAGCCTTAGGCCTGGGGGCAAAACCAGTCAAGTAGACTGGTGCACCTGCCCAGGATCAGAGCCGGTGCAAGGATTTTTGCCGCCCTAGACAAAATAAAAATTTGCTGCCCCCACATGTCACATCACAATGCCCCACCCATATGACCTGCCATATGAACTAACGCCAGTGCTGCACACAGTGTGTGTTTACATTAAAAACAAAAAACAATAAACAATTAAAAAGCCTGCAGGGACCAGCTATAGACACCAGAACCACTTCATTAAGCTATAATGTCCCTTTAATGTGAGGTAAATTATAGATTAGTGTCACTAATAATATACTAGATTGCCTACTTACAAGCAGATGAGGATGATGATGGGCTGCAGTTTGGCTCCACTGGTCTGGTGTAGAACAGGATCTCTGGAGCTGTTTGCAACTGTGGTCACAAAATTCAATGTTCTGGGAGAATTGGAAGCAGCTCAATTTTTTGGGGCCCCTTACACAGCTCAAGGTCTGGGCCCCAGGGCCTGACGGTGAGTATGCCCATAAGGCCCACTCATAAGTTCCACCCACCCATGAGTTCGCTCACAGGGAGTGGAGTGTGTAGGGATGTGTTATGTGTTATTGTAGAGGATCTAATATGTGTGCTTATGGTATGTAGTGTTTAGGGTTACCAGTTTGTGCAGGTGATGCAGTGTGTTTGTGTGTAGTGGAAGCAGTGTGTGTTTGTGTATAAGGGATGTATTATGTGTTTCTGGTTGTGTGTAAGGGATTACATTGTGTGAATCTGTGTTTGTATGCATAAGGGATGCAAGGTGTGTGTCTGTATGTGTGTGCATGAGATGCATTGTGTTTCTGTGTGTATGTAAGAAAAGTGTGTGTGTTTGCATGCGTGTGTACGGGTTTGCATTGTCTGTTTCTGTGTATGTGTGCAAAGGATGCATTGTCTTTGTGTGTAAGGGTTGCATTGTGTGTGTGTGTGTAATGGATACATTGTGTGTTTCTCTGTGTGTAAGGGAAGCATGTTGTGTTTCTGTGTATGTATAGGGATGCATTGTGTGTGTGTGTGCGCGCGTAGTGTGAAAGAGCTCCCTGTCTTGGCCCCTGTCCTATAGAGCTGCCCCTTCTTCTTATTCCCCCCCTCCCCTCTTCTTATTCCCCTCCCTCCCCTCTTCTTATTCCCCTCCCCCCTCTTCTTATTCCCCATCTTATTCCCCCCTCCCTCTTCTTATTCCCCTCCCTCCCCTCTTCTTGTCCCCCCAAACATTCCCCCCCTCCCTCTTCTTATTCCCCCTCCCTCTTCTTATTCCCCCCCCTCCCCTCTTTTTATTCCTCCCTCCCTCTTCTTATTTCCCTCCTCTTCCTTATTCCCAGCCCTTTATGTGCTTATTTCCCCCCTCCTCTTTATTCCTCCCTCCCTCTTCTTATCCCTCCCTCCCCTCTTCTTATTCCCCCCCTCCCTCATCTTATTCCCCCCCCCTCTTCTTATTCCCCCCTCCCTCTTCTTATTCCCCCCCTCCCCTCTTCTTATTCCCCTCCCTCCCCTCTTCTTATTCCCCCCTCCCCTCTTCTTATTCCCCCCTCCCCTCTTCTTATTCCCCTCAGGCGGCTGCAGTATTTAAAGGGCCGGCCCCAGGTGCCGACGGCCCACCGGGAAATTTCCCGGTATCCCGGTGGGCCAGTCCGTCCCTGACTCTGACTCCCATCCACCTGAGCCACCACTGGACCCCAGGGAAAGTCACAGGAGGGTGACTAAAATATTTTGTGTGTGTTTGTTAGTGTATGCATCTTTGTATGTATGTCTTGTGTGTGTGTCTGTCTGGATGTGTGTATGTCTGTATGTGTGTGTCTGTATGTGTGTCTTATGTATGTGTCTTTGTATGTATGTATGTCTTTGTGTGTATGTGTGTCTTGTCTTTGTGTGTATGTGCCTTTGTATGTATGTCTTATGTGTGTCTGTATGCATGTCTGTTTGTATGTATGTGTCTTGTGTGTGTGTCTGTATGTATGTGTGTGCCTGTCTGTCTGTCTGTATGTGTGTATGTATGTGTGTGTGTGCCTGTCTGTTATAGTGGGCTATAGTAAGTAATAGTAAGTGGGATACCTAGCTCAGCCTTCCTACTGGGCATTGCTATAAGGAAGGTTAAAAAAAAATTTTAAAAAAGGAAAAAAAAAAAAAGGTGGGGAGGGAAAATGAGGAGAGAGAGGAGGGGAGCTGACGCACAGATGAGAAATCATATTATGCGCAAACAGAGAAGTCGTCTGAATAGCACCGAAAGAGGAGATCTTCGTTTGTTCCCTACGAAAATCGAACCAGATATCAAATATTTAGTCTTGCAGCATCAACCTCAAGGATCTCATTAATCACTAGTAAAGGTAATTTCAATTTACTTTATTGTTTTCTCATTAAACTTTTTATAAAGTTAAAAACTTTATAAAAATGGATTAAGTAGAAATAAAAAGATAAATGTACGTACATTTATTTTTTTTAAAACACCCTCCTTTCTAACAAATATTCCGCACTTGCGCGGAAACTGGTGGGCGGTAAGGAAATTTTTTCAACCAAAAAGATGCATTAGTGGGCGGTAGGTAGAAAAAGGTTGACTACCACTGGACTATAGTGTCCCTTTAAAGTGCTGCTTTGCAGTATGTAGAATTCAATGCTGCAGGAGGTAAGTCAGTAAGCAATGAGAAATCCTGCAGCATATGATGGCTACATACTGCAGTCTGGCAGCCCTATGTACATAGGATGTTTGATTAGGTATCCCATACAAAGTGTGGTGTATCACTAAACTCTATAAATTATTATGTACGCATACACATATAAACTCTGGTCCGTCTACTTTAACAAATATTTATTCAGAGACAAAACAACAACAACATATAAATAATGACACACAATCTAACTAACTATACCACCAACAATAGCAACAACAAGCTAACTAACAATAACAACTACATCTTATAAAATCCCACTCACAGTTCACCATGATAGAAATTAGGCCATGTCTGCTTAAGGGACTGCTCAGTAGCACAGCCAAGAAGGAACAAGGAGGAATGGAGAAAGGGGGAAGTGGTTACCTCTTTCCTGACTTGTAAAAGGTATTGAATTACCCAATTACCACATCAAAAGGTAAAGCTCATCCCACTGTAAGAAAGGCATACATGAGCTTGGTCACATGATCCCTGGTCACCATATTAGTTTGATGACAGAATGTCACCACACAAAGCTGCAATCATTTCAGGCCGTTTGGGGTAGCCATGCCCCCCTTTATTTGGAATGCTTGATTCAATCAATTTTCCCCCACATTCTCCGACTTGTAACAAAGTAATAAAACTGGAACCCTTTTCCGCACAATCTGTTCTGTTTCACAACAGAGACCAAACTCTCCAAAGTTCCCCTCAAGCAGAGACCAAATTGGGGTCTGTCAAACACAATTAGCATCAGCGTAGATTTCTCGAAAAATAGTTTTCCTCTTCTGTCTCAGAGAGAAGACTGGAGTAGATACATCGGTAAAGAAAAATAAAGTGGGATTTTAAAAAAATGAAAAATGAAACGTCACTAGTGACATTGCAACGTTGACATCAGGGATACATTGCATCGTACAATAAGTCTCTTGTGTATTCCCGAGCCCTTTGGCAATGTTATTTGTATAACATGTTGTGAGGAGTTATTTTTGGGTTGTTGGTTCAGGGCTTCTATTTGTATCTCGGCAGAGTCTTCCTGTACGCCTTGCTCTCACGCGCTGTGTGTGAATTATGTCCCTGAATTGCCCCAAATCTGAATAGCGGTTTGATATTCTTACGGCAGAAAGGCATGCGTTCCTGACCTATTCAGAGTTTTTTTTCCCCCAAAGTATAAAGCCAGGCTTGTGGCAAAGCAGCATTTAGCATTAAGTGGGCAGAGAACCCAAAATTGATTTTGTCTCTCCAATTTGTGCTGCATCCATTAACACCTCAATCACGAGAATAGATTGGTACATCAAATGGAAGGTCAGATTAAATAAAATGGACTCAGAAAATAAGTCTAAATACAGTGATGTGGTACAGCGCTACGGAATCTGATGGCGCTATATAAATAATAAAATAATAATAATGTTTCACCTGCTTTAAAATCACTTTATTTCACACAAATATTACATTTAAGGGTGCAGAATATGCGGTATATCTGAAAGCTTTGCAACGTTTGCGTGAGCTTTCTCTGAGGGGGGAATAAATCTGCCAATGGTAAGGTTCCCATATTGTTCTTTAGACGTGCGCACACAAGGTCTTTAGGTGCATAATCCTGGTTTCTGGGAGTTTGAGGTGTTAGCTCTCGTCTGTAAAGAGAAGACATCCACTACAACACAAAGGACTGCAGGTTACAAAACGAATTAAAGAAATATAATGCAAACTGTCAAAAAAAAAATATTTAATGCAAAAATGCACCCAGCAATACAAACACAAAAATGGCAAAGTTCAGACTAAAATAGCTAATCTGGAAATTTTCTTTAATTCAGCTATATACAGTTTGTCTGTTTTAGTCTAAATATTGCTGTTTATATTACGGAATTACAATAATATATATGTATTTTGCTGCTGGTGTAGATAAGTTACATGTAACCACTTCATTACTGTTCAGTTTATTTAAAAACTTGCTTTCTATAGCTGTGGGCCCTTAATAGCTCAGGAGACACATTAAGGGTGCTGATAGCTTTAACTCAAGACAGGAGCACTTTTCTTAAATTCTGTTTTATATATCCACAGGCAGGACACGGGACTTGCTGTCTGCCAGGATGGAGAACAGGAAAATAAAATATCTGCATCTTGCCAAGGAAGTAAAGGAAATGTTCTCTTACTGATTTACACGCATGTTTGGCTTCATAAATGAAAGCTATGTACAATTCCAGGACTGAGCATGTTAGGAGTTGTAGTCCAATATCATCTCTGCATCTGATCTCCATCACATATACTTTTCCATTTGGGTTGTACTATGACGTGATGATTTTTTTAATTGTTTTTGTTATTCTTTAGAATATAAGATTAGAAGAGGTTCCGTCCTTCTAGAATATATGGATGGATCCGTTCGTCTTCTGCAGAAACCTGTTGGTAGTAACATTCATGTTATCTAAATGAGATACATCACTGTAGAGATTAATTAGCACCTGGAGAGTACTCCCCCATCACCCAGTGACACAGGTGTTCAGATTTACCTGTTGGTACCCAAGACGGAGTTATATCTTACTGTAGCCAAAACAACAGCACATGGAGAGACAAAATAGTATAAGAACAGCCAGGTGCAAACCATATAAACACTCCCTCAAGTGCTTTAAATATTTAAATGTATATAGAATATAGAATGCACACTATAACAATCTCAAACAAACTGAGCTTTATTATGTACAAAAAAGTACCAGAGTGAAAACATATAAGAAAAAAATAAACAAAGTGACAGAAGCAAGGGCAAATACAATAAAATAATAATAAATTACAACAAAAAATTATTACAAGCCTCAAGACAGAAACACGAGTCACCAAACTCCTCAACGTTTCGGCACCAACTGGCTGCCTTTATCAAGGGTACCCTTATGCATTCTATATTCTATATACATTTGAATATCTTACTGTAGCAACATTATTCTGTCTGACATTTAACCATTTTTTCCATATTGAAGCAAACACCTCGGACCCCCAATTAGCCTCCATTTACATATGTCTTCCTATGCTGATTTACGGCCATTGCGTTTCTTTCAGTAAATACATTGAGTTCATTCTTTTAGCTTCCTATCCTCCTGTTGAATGGAGTGGCCTCATCTCTATGGCATCTATATGTTAGGATGGCTCCATGTTACTTATGCATGCTGAGAGAACTTTTAGGATTAACATGAATTAAATGTATTTTTTTTTTTTTACCGGTAACAACTTTCCCACACTGTGTCAAATGACACAGAGCACTCTGATTGGTTGATTTCAAGCCAACCAATCAGAGTTCTGTGACAGGTAAATGTAGAGACTTACCTGTCAGAGCACTCTGATTGGATGGCTTAAACCCACCAATCAGAGTGCTCTGAGCCTAATTGCAGGGTGTGGGAAGACTTTATAAACCTTTCCTCGCCCTGTGGAGCTCAGTCTGCGCTGTACCCTCCATGGGTTAAGATGGATTACTTTTTTTAGTGTCTGTTTTTTTTCGTCTGATTTTTTTATTTTAATTGTTAAGTTCAATGGATATTCTGGATTTTTATTTGGCCTTTTTTGAGGCTGAAAAAATATTTTAGAAATAAAGAAGACATCAAATGGTAACTTTCATTTTTTTTTTTTTACAGGTATTTAGTTCTCTTGTTCCCCCTCACTATTTTTAGGTTGAGTGAGGTAGGTAGGGGTTTATTAACTTTTTTGGGTGGGTGGGTGACTAGGGACTTAGGGACCGGGGGAGAACTATTGGTCCCCCCTAATTATTATTTAGGGCCCCACCTGCTGCTCAGGGGTGGGGCCTGGGGCGGGGAATAGGTCCCCTCCCCTATTGTTATTTAGGGCCCCTACCCGCCACTCAGGGGTGGGGACCGGGTGGAGGACAATAGGTGTCCTCCCCCATTTTCATTTAGGGCCCCCACCCGCCGCTTATGGGTGCGGGCCGGGGGCAAAATAGGTCCCCACTTAAGTTTAATAGCGCCCACTCGCAGGGCACGGGTGGGTGCTGGCTGCTCACTGTGAAGTAGACATGCCCCTACTCGAGGCATAGTGAGTAGGGGAAGAATTTACTAATACTAAGTAATCTTTACTTAGTATTAGTAAATTTGTCTGAAAGACCAATTTAGGTCTTTCAGCCTTTTAGTAGATAGCTCCCTAATACCGTGGGAATTAGGGAGTTATCTACTTATTCATTCCTGTCATTACATTGACTGGCCAAGTAACTAACATTTTATATGAATGTATGTTACTTGATTGTTGTAAGTGTTGCAAAAGCTTACAGCTGAATCCTGGTTATGTTTGTATACTTTTTATTTAAAATTGTATACAATGTAACATTCTTCATTCTTCCACTGGGTAAGTATATTAGTACTTAGCCAATACTGTGCTTCGGAACTTCGGCACTTCTGAACTTCGGAAGTACCCGAATGTCCGAATTGACCGAAATTCGTCCGAATTCATATTCAGACCGAAACGAATTGCACATGTCTAGAACAGATCCTGACAGAGGGAGAGCAGGGGAATCGATTAGAGAAAGGTAAGTTCGGCATGACAGTGCCGCTTTAAACCTTGTTCATTTGGCTTGTGTTAGCCTTTGAGTTTGACATGCTTGATGAAATGCATAATTTTAGAATCTTATTAAAAAAAAACATTAGAACAAGACCAATGTATCTTATTTACACAGACTGATTTCTAAACACATTTACTGTAGTTTAAAGACACATTACTGGGAGTATTATTACTGTGGAGCTCTGTTATACACTCAGACACATTACTGGGAGTATTATTGCTGTGGAACTCTGTTATACACTCAGACACATTACTTGGAGTATTATTGCTGTGGAGCTCTGTTATACACTCAGACACGTTACTGGGAGTATTATTACTGTGGAGCTCTGTTATACACTCAGACACATTACTGGGAGTATTATTGCTGTAGAGTTCTGTTATACACTCAGACACATTACTGGGAGTATTATTGCGCTCCTCCTTCCCCTCTCCGCAGATTTTATTATACTCTCTCTAACATACACAGATTCCTGCTGCAGCAGAATAAAAAATAAGAAAATCACTAAACTTTTAGTGCACAATTTTATATAAATGTAAAAAAAAAAAAAAAAAATCACATTGCTATAAAAGGTGTCACTGAGCCTTTGAGAAATAAAAGCAAAAACTATTGCAGGCGACTTGAGAGGAAAAAGCCTGCCGTGCATTATTCAATAAATAAATAGATATATTCAAAAGATAGCTATAGTTTTACACAATCCATTTCTAGCACTTTCCTATTTCAAGACACAGAGTAGCAGACAACCAAATTCATCAGGTATATATAAACACGGGATAATAGGCCGAACAGCAAAGTCTAATATGAATAATTATAGCAAAGAGCATACAGTTCCTTTTACAAGTAGCTTAGAAATACATTGAATCTCTGGGGGGGGGGAGGAAAATGCATACGCCGGCGATTTGTTCTGCAAGACGCGTGTTTACGGCACGCCATCACAGTGAGGAAAATATATATTCTTATGCTGTCGTGTCCTGGTGGCTTGAGTTAATGTTACCATTTATTACCAATATGAAATGGGAAGTAAACTCTGTCATTAGCCTGTCAAAAAAAATTAATAATGAAACCATTACATATACACATTTGTGGATGAAAAATACGTTAGATGCAAAGCTGCACAGATTGCAAAATGTGGTCATTTATTTATGAAATACTGCGTTACTTTTTAAAAGGACACTGCAGACCTCTAAATTACTTTAGCTGAATGAAATGCGTTATGTGTGAAGTGTGCTCTTTTTTTTTTAAATTTTTTTTTTTAATATTTTTTAAAAAGTGCAGATTTCAGTGGAGAGTTACACTTTTATAAATTAACCTTGTTACACCCTCCTGGCTGTCAATCAGACAACAGGTTCTGTTACTTCCTGGTTTTGTTAGTTCAGTGAAGCTAAGCTCAAGAGGCACCAATTGCCCAGAGCACCTGCCTTGCAAAGACTTCTCATTGAGCTGCACCAGGAAGTTTGTGATTGTGTTTGTTATCGTACATTGTGTATTCTTAACCTGATAGGACTAATGAAAATGAGAGAGGTTCCGCTTCGCTAAACACTATGTAGAGATTTTTAAATGTGTGCTCTATCTTTGAAAATCAGGATTTTGCCTATTTCAGATAGTCTTGATAAAGTACTGGAAGTATGAAGCACGCAGTATTGTATTGCTGCTTCTGCCAGCATGACGTTGCGGAGAGGCGGTGAAGCAACCACAGGACTTGATTTTGACACTGGAAAAAAAAAAAAGAGTGTAAACTCCCACACACAATTTTTATTTAGACTTAAGGGGCCCTGGATTTAAAACGAGGAAAACACTATAGCATTACCAGTACAGGTTTGTATTCCTAATACCACAGTGTTCCTTTAAATGCACCACAGAAATGAATTAAGAAATAGTGATATTTTTGTGCATCGTGTTCAGTGAACTTTCTGCTTGTGTTACATCTTATGGTGGGATGTATTGAAATGTAGCAGATTTGTTCCGGTGCAGTAGCAGCTTGTAGAAGTCAGGGCAGGGCTCCTAAATAAAGCGGTCATACGGCAAAATGGCTGCATATCGAGAGAGAGAGAGGAATAAAAGAAAGACAGGAAGATAACATACCTCCCAAAATGTCATATGGACAGAGAGGGACACTTTAATTTTTGGGGTGGCCAGGGACGGGGCTGTACTGAGAAATGCTAGGTGACTTACTATTAACAATTTATAGAACTGAAATGTAATTTTGAACAAGAACAATGTATCTTTATTTACACAGACTGAGTTCTAAACACATTTATTATAGTTTAACCCCTTAATGACCAAACTTCTGGAAAAGTTATGTCATGTGTCCTTAAGGGGTTAAAGACATTACTGGGAGTATTATTACTGTGGAGCTCTGTTATATACTCAGACACATTACTGGGAGTATTATTGCTGTGGAGCTCTGTTATACACTCAGACACATTACTGGGAGTATTATTGCTGTGGAGCTCTGTTATACACTCAGACACATTACTGGGAGTATTATTGCTGTGGAGCTCTGTGATACACTCAGACACATTACTGGGAGTATTATTGCTGTGGAGCTCTGTTATATACTCAGACACATTACTGGGAATATTATTACTGTGGAGCTCTGTTATACACTCAGACACATTACTGGGAGTATTATTGCTGTGGAGCTCTGTTATACACTCAGACACATTACTGGGGGTATTATTGCTGTGGAGCTCTGTTATACACTCAGACACATTACTGGGAGTATTATTGCTGTGGAGCTCTGTTATATACTCAGACACATTACTGGGAGTATTATTGCTGTGGAGCTCTGTTATATACTCAGACACATTACTGGGAGTATTATTGCTGTGGAGCTCTGTTATAACACATTACTGGGGGTATTATTGATGTGGAGCTCTGTTATACACTCAGACACATTACTGGGAGTATTATTGCTGGTGAGCTCTGTTATACACTCAGACACATTACTGGGAGTATTATTGCTGTGGAGCTCTGTTATACACTCAGACACATTACTGGGAGTATTATTGCTGTGGAGCTGTTATATACAGACAAATTACTGGGAGTATTATTGCCGTGGAGCTCTGTTATACACTCAGACACATTACTGGGAGTACAGGGAGTGCAGAATTATTAGGCAAGTTGTATTTTTGAGGATTAATTTTATTATTGAACAACAACCATGTTCTCAATGAACCCAAAAAACTCATTAATATCAAAGCTGAATATTTTTGGAAGTAGTTTTTAGTTTGTTTTTAGTTATAGCTATGTTAGGGGGATATCTGTGTGTGCAAGTGACTATTACTGTGCATAATTATTAGGCAACTTAACAAAAACAAATATATACCCATTTCAATTATTTATTATTACCAGTGAAACCAATATAACATCTCAACATTTACAAATATACATTTCTGACATTCAAAAACAAAACAAAAACAAATCAGTGACCAATATAGCCACCTTTCTTTGCAAGGACACTCAAAAGCCTGCCATCCATGGATTCTGTCAGTGTTTTGATCTGTTCACCATCAACATTGCGTGCAGCAGCAACCACAGCCTCCCAGACACTGTTCAGAGAGGTGTACTGTTTTCCCTCCTTGCAAATCTCACATTTGATGATGGACCACAGGTTCTCAATGGGGTTCAGATCAGGTGAACAAGGAGGCCATGTCATTAGATTTTCTTCTTTTATACCCTTTCTTGCCAGCCACGCTGTGGAGTACTTGGACGCGTGTGATGGAGCATTGTCCTGCATGAAAATCATGTTTTTCTTGAAGGATACAGACTTCTTCCTGTACCACTGCTTGAAGAAGGTGTCTTCCAGGAACTGGCAGTAGGACTGGGAGTTGAGCTTGACTCCATCCTCAACCGAAAAGGCCCCACAAGCTCATCTTTGATGATACCAGCCCAAACCAGTACTCCACCTCCACCTTGCTGGCGTCTGAGTCGGACTGGAGCTCTCTGCCCTTTACCAATCCAGCCACGGGCCCATCCATCTGGCCCATCAAGACTCACTCTCATTCAGGGCCATCTATAATATGATTAGGACCCCGGGCAATGCATTTTCTTGGGCCCCATGGGCCCTGTCCCTGCCACTGCCTCACCCCCCAATTACATCCAAACCGCAATCACACTGACAGACGTACTGGCACATACACACACAGACAGACATTAAAACATTCACAGATACATACTGACACACACAGTCACTACACACAAATATATACTGGCAGACATACTGACACACACACAGACATACATACATACACAGACACATACATTAACAGATATACTGACACACACACAAACGCATACACTGACAGATATACTAAAACACATAGACACATACACTGACAGACACATTGACACACACACACAGGCATACTGACATATACACACAGGCATACTGACATATACACACAGGCATACTGACATATACACAGACAGACGTAATGGCTGATACAGACAGACATTAAACATTCACAGATATATACTGACACACACATACACTGACATACAAATATATCCTGGCAGACATACTGACACACACTGACATACATACATACATACACACAGACACAAACACTGACAGACATACTGACTGACACACACAGACATACTTACATACACACACAGACATACTGACACACAAAGACATGCTGACACACACACACAGACATACTGACACACACAGACAGATGTACTGGCACATACACACAGACAGACATTAAAACATTCACAGATACATACTGACACACACA